TTGGACGCCACCCGGAACAGGCGGGGCACCAGGTCGGCCAGCTCCAGCCCCAGGTCCTGGGCGATGCGGCCCACGAAGGTGCCGTGTTTGGCCTCCTCGGGGACCGAGTAGCGGACCTGGCCGCTCCCCGCCTCCCAGGCTGGGAGGAGCAGAAGGGAGAGGAGCAGACACTGGCATCTCGGGTCTCCTCGCCAAGAAAACGTCATTTCAAGTCCTCGTTTTGATGATACCTGAAGAGATTCTTTGATATAATGAAGAAGCACTGCATTGCCTGTGCTCTTTTAATCCATTTCCGTTGCATCCGCCATTGCTGGGCTTTCAGAGACTGAAAATGCCGGGAGTACGCCTCCTAGATCTTTTCTAGACAGAACTTCTTGGCGGACAGCGACATCATGCGGCTCCAATAGGTATAAATTAGAAAAAATCACTTACCTCCGGGATAATTGGTTTCTTTCAATCCTATACTTTCTTTATTAATGGTGAATCTTTCCTTTTATCAGTTGCACAAACATTTATACTGTCTTCCTCTTTACATTATTTTTTCAGTTATATGGCTCTTTATTTATAAGGAATAAATTTTCTCCCAATAATTGAAATATCAAGAAATGTAGTAAGATCCAGACATGTCCGTTTCAGAAGCAGAAAATTGTTCCATATTTCCGTGTATAAAAAATATGTTATAGTATTGTGGTCACTCAGAATGTTTGTATCTACTATTCTGGGCTGAAGAATAATTCTAACTTCTATTTATTTAGATCTTTTATGGATTATCGATGTTATACTTTGTTTAATGAATGCCAAATTTCCTATAGTTGCTCTATCAATGCAAGAAAATTTTGACATGTATTCTTTGTAATTCTCCTTAATATCGTTGTTGGATGTTAAAACAGACGTGTCTGATATAACATTTTCCTAAAAATTTCTCTGCCCCAGCAAATCGTTTTATTTTAACTTTGGTCTTTTCTGTTAGCTTTTCATCTTTTATTTTCATAATTTATTTCTCTAAAATAGGAACAATTTCTGAACCTATGCCTCTAGCCTTCTTTTAAAAATCTTCTTTATGTGTTTCTCTCTAATTCTATCCCTTCAAATAAGTGTATTATTTGAAGTATTCCTTAATTCAAATCTCCAACCCCTATTTCATTTTCTACTGGACACATTTACATATACAGCCTGACATTGCTTAGAAAACAACAAGATAGGTAAATTTTTTAAAAAGTTTAATCAATAATTAGCCAAAATTGAAATATATGAAAATTGCATTTTTATAGCACGAACAAATTTACTTATGTTGTGCCTCCTTTTCCTGTGTCTGTTATATTTAAAGTTTGCTATAGCCTATCCCTCTTTTCACCTGCATACCATAAAATTTGCTTTTACTCATACAAGTTACATTGCATTGTATTAAATTCTCCAATAAGTTTACCTTCTACTGAACTAAATACCAAGACAATCAACACACAATCAGAGAAATACAGTATATGACCATATATCATCCCTTCATTGCTTTCTTCAATCTTTTTTCCATAATAATGTTTTCCTCAACAAGCTCTTTGTGCAATGGGTGTCATTTATTACCCCATATTTATCTCTCAAAATCCAATTTATCCCTCAAAGTGTGTTTCAAATTTTTTTCTCTATGTATTTATCAGAAATAGCTCAATAGATCAAGCTCCCCTTTCAATGACCATAGTAGCAACTGTGAATGGGGAAAGAGTACTCTCTTACTCATCCAACATTCTGGCATACTTGAAATCACATCATAGGTGATAAAGATTTTTGCAACTTTATTTAATAATGTCTTAATGTATTTAATTGCAAACTCTTTAGAGGCATTGCACTTCTAGTTCTTTTAGAACAATTAATTTGTACACTCATAGACTTCATAAAAGTTCTCATGAAAGATATATAAACCACCATCCATTATACACTGATGATTATCTCAGGTGTTTAGAGTTATTCAAAATCTTGGTTGTATTAAAGTTTCTTTTTAATTTTCATTGAAGTAAGACATTACTACAGATTTTACTGAAGTTCTTAGTAACCCAGATGTGTGAAAAATATAGTAACATAACCACAGTAATATTTTCACTAGCTACAATTAAGAAATAAAAACAGTTTGGAGATTCTTACAGAAAAGCAATAAATAAGAAGGGGTATTTTCTGTGAAACAACTTCCAGTTTTGCTCAACAAATTTATTCAATCTATCTCTGTAATTCATCCTAAATAATTAGAATGACTATGTAAATAAAATAACAATACTCCTTAGCTCAATGAAAATGTTTACCAACAAAAAGCCATAATATAAATAAGAGTATGATTTTTAAAATAAATTGCCAATTTCAATAGTGGCAATTGATAAAGATTACTGAATTAGTTATTAAGTTGTAGTACTTCCCAAAATTAAACCGACTTTTAAATTTGCTTAACAGGGCCTACTGGCTACTTAAGGGTTAGGTCTCAGGGCTATCACCTAGGGCCTGAGTTCTATATTCAGCCAGGTAGCTGACCTACAAGGCATAGCAGATGTCTCCTGCCTTACCCACTGCTTCCCGTAGCAGTGTACTTCAGTAGATCCAACTGTTCTGCTCCCCACTCTGTCTCTAGGGATTCCTCTCACCCCAATCTTACCCTGCATTTCTGACCTCAATTCTTCTATGCAAGAAAAAAAAGAAGAAGAATATAAAATTTCTTAACACATACTAAGAAAGTCATTTTAAAGTATATGAATGTGAGTGTAAAAAAAAAAACAGGTGGGACAATAAAAACTGAATTACACTTGCCATCATCAAAGGCTAGAATGGTTATATTTTACTACAAAATTCAGTATTTTTTCGAGGAGAACAATAAATTGTGATGGCTACAATTTTATTGGTCATTGGTAAGAAATTCCAGTGACTATGAAAAAAGATTTTTTGTTTTCAAACCCATACTATTACTTGAAAGTCTTTGAAAACAGAAGGCACACATCTTAAAATAACTTCCCACATAGAGCTAAAATTTTACTAGTTGTGAGAGTTCACACTTTCTAATTATCAAGTTTTTATTTTTTGTCAGCTAAATAACTTGACTTAGTATAATTTAGTTGCTATTCTATTGAAGTCAAAACAACTAGGTGAATGAATCACAGTAGTATGAGTAAATCCATATAGGAAATCAAGATGCAGCTATGAAAAAATTAAGAAAAACACAAAACCACTAAAAATATTTCAGGAAAAAAATAATATGAAAACCAAGATATAACTTAAAAAAAAGTTCACAGTGCAGAGGATACTTTCAGGGCAATCACTTGCTTTTAAGAAAAGAAAGGTTTCAGGGCCCTCCCTGGTGGCTCAACACATTAAAAGCACAGCACTATGAAGTTATCCACTGCAGCACAGAGTTTGGTCCCAGGCCAGGTGGGGGTGACCCACAGATGCAGCAGGCCTGTCCTGTCACATCAGTCTCTCCCCTCAGCAGTGTATTTCAGTCAATCTGCATATTCTGTTCTCCACTCTGTCTCTGGTGAATCCTCTCACACCTGGCCTGTACCCCAGTTCTTGTATACATGAATAAACAATTTTTTTAAGGAACAGAAAGGTTTCATGCATCCATATAAAATCTTGGAGGAAGCTAAAGAAATTGAACATGCTCCAGTAAATCCAAAGGTATTTAATGAATAGTTTGCTTGAAGGTGAGACTGAGACTTTTCACTAAATACTATATTCAATTCCTTGAATTTTTAAATGTGTATATGTACTACTAAGCAAGCTAGGAACAAAAATTAAAATACTAGTGAACACTCACTGAAACTAAATATTTAAGTCATACTTAAAGCTCTTCATGAACATATGAGCTAAAACTACTAAAGCGAGGTAAAAATGTCAGTAGGTAACAAATTCAAACAAATGTACTAGTAACTACTATAAACGGTCAATATTAATCTACAATCTACAATATTGCACCCTCTAAAATCAAAATAGCATGTATAAAATATCTCAAATTAATGAAATAGAAAATAAAATAATTTATAAAGATCGCAGCTAAAATTAAAAATGTAACATGTATAAAACCTAAATTATGGCAATTTTCTAATATTTCAAATAACATTTTAAACTCACATTGTCTGCTGATACGGGTCCTGGAGGTTGACAAGGGCTGAAGGCCATGAGGTCAGCCTTGGGCGGCCCTTCTCCCGAGCACACCCGCGGCCGCCTCTGC